TTTAGGGTTTAGGGGCCAGGGTTTAGGGCAGTCTTCAGCCAAAACCTTACAGGAACTGGTGCAAACTTACAACCTCTGCGAGCAGATGAACCGTAGCATACTATACAGTATACTATACAAAAATCTATACAGTAGCCTGTACGATATAATCTGCAGTATACTAGACAATATACCATAAAGTGTACTATATGGTATAGTGAATTGTATACCATATGGTATACGATCGTATATGGTATAAGGGCTTCTCTTATATATTCTACTACACAGTATGCTATGTAGTACTATGTCTCTGAAAACCTACACTGCAAAACCCTACTTAATCGACGCACCTGGACCTTTAACCCAGACGTGCCATCCCTGAGCCAGCAAAGCAAAACAAAAAAGGAAAAAAAAAAATGTAAAAACACAAAACAGAAACCCTAAACCCTAAACCCTAAACCCCCACAGCACCCGGGGGGTCCTCTGTTCTCATGGAATTAGAGTCGTAGCAACCTGAGCCGACCCTCCATCCGAGCCACCAGAGGATGTGGCCGCAACAAAAGTTGCAATCCTGGGCTCAGAAGTTTAGCGTTTAGGGTTTAGGGTTTAGGGTTTGCTAGGGGCTGACCCTACAGTACAGTCTAAACCGTATCATGCACAGCAGGTGCAGTCATCCGTCTGACATGTACTAGAAGGTAGTACATGTGAACGATTCTGTTGAGTTCTGCGCTGGCGCTCGTGGATATCCCTCAGCTTCTTTTGTTTGCTGCGCAGGGCAACAGTTATTGTGGCATATAGAGGCCAAGGTTGAGGCTTCCAGGTTTGACGACTTTTTCGGCTTATGTTAGAGTGTTTGAGACAGTAGGTTCAGAGGTGAACTCTGATGCAGCAGGCAGTGGTCAACAATGAAATCCTATGCTGGAGCTCCGCAACAAGCTTTTGGGTTTGGCTGACTTTGCTGTGGTGTGCAGGACTCGGTATATCTTGGGGGCATTCAGGTTTCAGAACAGGTAAGTAGGGTTTCGGGTTTTTGCAAGCAAAGAACCCTAAACCCTAAACCCTAAACCCTGCTGGAAGCAAGGCTGCGGCCGAGAGTGAAGGGAATTCGCTGCAGATCTCTAGTTTGGAAAGCAACCAACGGTATACAACGAACGGAACCAGCCAAAAGAACAAGTAGGATCCTTCAGAACACACTGACCATAGACTATACTGTACAAAAATAATATACGTAGTATACTACATAGTATGCTGTATAGTATACAAATGTATATAGTATACTGTACAGTATACCGTAGTATACACTATACACTATGGTATCCCCTTCGTGAGCCCTCCAGAATCCTAGGGAGCTATACAGGAACAACTTTGGCCAGGAGGCCCGCCCGCAGCCGTCGTGCCGAGGGTTGTGAGCAGTGTACCAAAGATTCTACCTCTGGCATTGGAATCCGAAACGCCGAAACCCTAAATACTAAACCCGAAACCCTAAAAACCCTAAACTCCTAGACACCTGGGCCCTGAACCTAGGCGCGGCCACTGCGCACCTACCATCTTAAAAGGAAAGTCCGAAGAAAATCTTGTTGAGATGACATTTTCAGCAGGGGCGGGGGCGTCGGGAGATAGAGATGGGATGGGGATTTTGGGAAGGGATTTGTGGTGGGGTGGGGTGGGGTGGGGTGGGGTGGGGTGGGGTGGGGTGGGGTGGGGTGGGGTGGGTGGGGGGGGGTGGGGTGGGGTGGGGTGGGGTGGGGTGGGG